TATTGCATATTATCATATTATTATTACTGTGTGTGTGTGCACATGGGAGCTCGGAGCGTTAAGTGCAGTAATAGTGCGTAGGACCCCGCTGGTGAAATTAACCGTTAAATTACGCGATCGGTGCCCGCAGCCGCACCCCTTTCACTCTCTTCCTGTTTACCGACGACGTAGATGTACATTTTTCATTTCATACCTATAATATGTACCTATACAGTTTTTTGCGTTTTTTTTCCATCGCTTAAAACCCATGACCGGTCCGGTGACGAATCGCGCGCGGGCCATCGACCTTCACATTTCACCTGGACGTCGATCAAATTAATACACGAGTAATAATATGATTATCCTCGACGATATATTGTCATTCATACGCGTTACATTACTTTCTCTCGCTCCCATCTTTCGCCAGCACTGCGGATAAGACGAGCGGCGCATATTATGTCGACGGTGGTGGATGATCGCGAAATGACGGAGACGCGTACACATCACTATATAATATTATGTATAGCTCGAACGTAATTAATATCATATCGTATTAAAAACTCGTTTTCGATCAAATAATACGTAATAATAATTATAATCGGCGCGCTGCAGTTATTTGTATATTTTGTTGTGAAACGCTTTTATAATAATAAAAAAAAATGTTTACCGCTCGCAGCGATTGTCGTGGAATTTTGAAACCGCAGACTACCTGTAGAGTATTCTACGATATTATATTCGGTAGTTTTATATTATACAAATCACCGTTTATGGTTGGACGATAATTGTTTTATTTTGATTCATACCCATGGGTGGTTTCCCTAGTAGTCATTCTGACTTAGGTACTATATCATAATGTCGCGGCAAACGATATTCCGACTTTTTATTATACGAGATTAGTTGAAATTCCCATAGTTAATACATTAGTTATACGATTACAAAATACAAAACGTTAGCTTTACTACAATATACTTTATATACTACTTTATACGTATACCTTTTAACAGTTAAAAAATAAAAATAATATATATTTGAATGGCTAGTACAATAATATAAAAAAATTACTGTAAGAAAATAACCTGTTTACTGTGCTCATCCATAAATCAGTGTGGGTACGTAGAAAAGTTGGTCACATGAGTCACATGGCTGAATTGCTGCCGTAGTATACGTTGCAGTTTAGCTGCAAAAATATGCCACGGAGAAATTATTTTCGACCAATTTTTATGAGAAAAAATTGGCCACTGCCAAGTGCATAAACGTATGATAAAAAAACCTGACCATCAAACCTACATCACATTATGATGCCTATATTAAAATTGAAAAATCATTAATGAATTATTCAAACTAGTGTAATAAAACTGTCAACTACTATAGCGATCGATAATATGTTATAATGTGCCTTATAGTCTATGCTCAATAGTAGCCCGACCCAGCCCGGCCAGTCTACTAAGTAGCCGGTAGGTAAAGATATCCTGTAATGTTCCTCATTATTATATTATCTATAGTTATTAATATCTATAAAAAATATATATAGCTTAAATTTTAGATTGGTGCCTCCTAACCTACCTCTATAAGATTGTAGTTGTATAAAGCAAGTTTTCTTACAAATAATATTCTATAATATGAATAGAAAATAATATACATAACAATATAAAACAACACAATAACAATGCAGAAAAAACAAGGGAAGTTATCCAGCGATGGACCCTCCAAAATAATAATTACACTTAAACTAAAAATAATTGATATTATTTAAAAAATAAATACATATAGTTATGAATGTATTGATTAATATTAAATTTAAAATAAACTAATTTGCTATATAAACATGTATGTACCTACTGTATTAACCCATTTTATAATATATATTATTATATTGAGTTTTGCTTAACTATAGCCTATAGTCTATAGGTATTTAACTAGATATTGAGTGCTTAAATGTTCATTAATATATTCATATAATATACTTGTAAGTTGTGTATCACATTTCACATATTTTTACAGTTTATCAGATTTCCGTGGTCCACATACATTGATACCTTTAATTTATGATTAAAAAATATTTTTTAAACAAGATGTTAAAATATTATATCAGTATACAATATTATATTGTTGTGTGTTCAGTCTTCAGTGTTGTACTTTTTTTCAAAACCGACCTTGTTAACAACGATGTTACACATAATACATAAACCACATTCTGTGCATTTATAAATTCTGTTCGAAACTGTTTTATCGCATTGATACGGGTTTGATAAGGAAATTGTCCGCGATACCGGTCGGATTGCAGTATTGCAATATTGTACAAAATGGATGCGGGCGGTGCCGGCTGTAGCAATAAGTAACGTAACTTACAAGTTACAACTTGCAAAATACAAGCTCAATATCTATGGTAATTAATTTAACATCTCTGAGATAAAAACGTTTCGACTTACGAGTTTCTTACTTACTTATCTCAGTGATGGCAGCACTTCTGCCACAGTAATTATTGTATAACAATACCTACACGGATTTTTACAACCCATTTTTTATTACACAAACTAAGTAGAAAAAATTAATACAGAAGTCGCACGCTCGAACCTAATGAAATATTAGGACGAATTGGCATTCCTCATAGGCGTACGTCATAACATATTACAGCGAAAATAATTTAAGAAAGTACATGCGCGCATTAGTCATTCGAAGTTTTATTGAACGAGCACAGAACACATGTTTCGTCCCGGTCGATCGTCGCATAAAACATGCTGTTTAAGTGCACCACGACTCCCGTGAGTATCTATACTTGTAATACTTGTTAAGATGCATAATAAATTATAATATATGCAATGCAAACGAAAAATAATTTTGTAATCTCTCGAAACGAAATTGTTGTACACTTGTACCTACTATGTGTATACATATAACAACTATTGTGTGCATAATAAAGGGATTATATAATATTTTAGCGATGACAATAATATTGTCGGGACTTGTCGGGTTCCAACAAAAGGAACGCGTCCGACTGGCGAACTTTACCGTCCTTACCCATACACAACACTGCGTTCATAACAATATCATTTACCTACATAATTATTAACGTATTATGCCTAACCACGGTCCACGGTTTCTGCTTATGTAGTTTATTACCACGACTGCACCGAAGACAGATGAATTACTGTCGTTTCACGGCTGTACGTTTAGGTCGTCGTCGTCTCCTCATCCGGACGACGAGCGCTGAATTTCACGACGAATTCCCGTGGAGGTAAAGACCATTACACGCGCACCGCCATCTGCAGCAACGAGCGGCTGTGTAATAAACGTTTTCCGCGGTTCCGGAAAACGCGCACGACCAGAGTGTTGTTGTCGAGAACAGTTTTAAGTAGCCATATTATAGAGGCGGCGGGGAAATATAATTTGCATAGCTCGGAGACCGACTGTTGCTAATCGTACGTGTACCTCTTGCTCGAGATGATTTATAAATTGTACATACAGGGTGATTCGCCTAGAATGTTTACCGACATTTTATTCTTTAACCACCCATGTATTTGATGAAATTCTGATTTTTAGCATTTTTATATAAGACAATGTATTTTTAGACCATATTATTTTCGAACGCTTGCGTGTATTTTGTTTGAAATTTTTATTTTCACTCAAATTTTCTAAGATTCACTTGTATTATTATCTTATGAGTAGCCAACTTGTCAGTAAATACAAAAAATTCCGATTTCTAAACAACGGTCGTACATGCTTATGAAATTGTCTATTCCTAAAAAGAACCTGTGACTGATATATTTAGAGTATAGATAAAAAATGTGTAATTGTACATCTTACCTTGCTCAATGCGTAATCCTCGGGAAGCAGGCCGCACGCGTGTCGTCGGACCAGAGTAGATCAACTTGCATGGGACTCGTTTCACTTGTACTGCACAAAATTATATTTTTTTCTCACATTACACAATAAACGTATACTCTCAGGCAGGAAGACGACGCGATTGAGAATCAAGCGTGGGGAAAACCACGGACCATTTCATAAGATTATACCGATGGAAAATATCGTGTCCTTTTTACCTCAAACAATATAAATGGTCGGCGTGCTTATCACGTTCGGGCTGGGCAAGTTTAAAACCTCACCGAAATTTCTCTGATAAATGTTTCATCGACAACTTTCCGAACTTTTCCGTCTTCGAATTTCGTATGCTGAGAATCGTAAACCATAACCCTCCATAGACAGTCAACCGTAGTAAACTCAATCTAGGACCTAGGTGACCACTGTCCATAATATTATTATCATTGTAAACGGACTAAACGGCATACCCGTGGCAATGATCCACGGGTAATCGCGTATTTTTAGTTTCACTTTGTTATCGGTCTTATATACTCTTATACGACAACGGTCTTTACTCTTTATCGATAAGCGGCTCGTAAAGGTACGATGCACGCCTTGCACTCATCTTTATTTTGTACAAGAACAAGTTCCTTGTAAGAATAACAACTTCTATACTCCATACGCCTATACTACGCCAATTCAGAACGTGTATTGTGATATTTTAAACATTATAAATAAAATATACATTATTATGATTCAATCTTGAAAATTGTTGTTATACTAATGACATAATCACCAATTTTACGAAGAAAGGGGAGTGGAAAGACATTTTATTAACACTTTATGCAAGCAAGTTTGTGCAAGGGAAAAAGGAGTGAAATTTTTCGCGTGTGGGCTTGCTTTTACACTTTTTAAGTGTAGAAGAGAAAGACTTAAAAACAAAATTTAAATACCCGCAAACGATAATATTATGTGTTTTGAATACTTGTCGTTATTTATTGCGATCGAGCGGCGAGCCGAGACGCGGCGGCGGCTAACGCTGGCGAGTCGAGCGGTTGCAACGGCGGCGACGTTCGTTTCCGCCGCCGCCAGCGCGTCTGGAGGGGGGAGCGACTTGTCGGCGGCTGTGCCTGCGCGTCTCCAGAACTCCATCGCTATCGCTCTCACTCTCTCTCTCTCTCACCCGCTCTCTCAGTCAATCACTCTCCCGGTCTCTCACTTCTCAGTCGCATAATAACGGTGTCTCGCCGGAACCGACCCGGTAACGGAACACACACGCAACACGCGTCTCGCCGTGTGTTGTACAGTGCGCGCGGCGTTCCTTCCGAAACAAACAACCACTGCGCCGCGCTATCGGCGGTCTTCGTCACGTGTCTCGTTTCCGCCACGGTCGTGTTGTTCCTTATCCGCGGGCGCGTGTACGATATCGCGTATATCGCCCGAAGTTCGTGTGCGGTTGCCGGTTCAGCGTGCGTTTGTCTGGAAATCGAGATTTTCTGTTTTCGTTCCCTCGGCTTTTGTTCGCGAAAACCGTTCGAGTGCCGACTTGAGAATACCCGAACGCCGTCCGTGTGTTATTGTTACGCGGAGAGTGCTCCGCGAACGTATTTCGTCGATCAGTCTTAAAACGATATTTTCTACGACGAGAGAACGCACAACACGCGCTTACCACCGTTATTGCTTTTAAACGGCTACGCCTACATTTCAATATCATATAATATATTATAAGTTTAGAATAATAACTTATACTCAACAGACGACTGGGTTGCAGGAGGACACACCGGCTAATTTCGAGGTATTGTTGTATTATTAATTATCCGACAATATTAATAATAATTAACGTCGGCTACGTACAGTAGATATTATATCCGTGAGGTTGGCCCCAAGTTGAACTTTATCTGATTGATTCGAAAATGTGCAGGTTATATTTTGTAAATTAATTGCAAATTGCTTACAAAAATTTGCAAATCAATTTTATTTTTTCGGTGATCTTAATATTATGTTTTTTTTTGTTCAGAAATGGCTTTCAGCGTATAATACTAATACTTATATCATATTTCATAGGACGTTTTTAAAAATTCTAAAGCCCAACTTGCAATTACTTTTAATCAATTTGCGAATATTGTCTCAGTTTTTGAATCGATCGAACAAAATCAGGTGACTGCGAGGTCAGACAACTTAAGGTGGGTCCCGAAATGGGTTTGCTTATAATATTCAAAAAACTTTTTTGCAAATTCTAATAACAAACTCTCAATTGATTTGCTAAATATTGGCATATTTTTCGAATCAATTTGGCAAAGTCTGTTGGCAGACTCCATGGTTATGTCTTTTTATATTACCCATTGATAATACATAGTAACTAGTATTAAATATTAATTAATAATATTTATAATCAATGATTTTTTGAATATACTCGTTATAAACTTCGAGTGTTCTTCAAATCAGTGAGGCGCGGACCTTAATTCTATATATAATTATATATAATATATTTAGGAAAATCCGTTGATTACGTCCACCGTGGATTCTCACAGCGAGTTTCTATAATTACTGAAAGCACGCGCGTGCTAATAACTTAAAAATTGAACCTTGATAGTTGATAGGATTATAATTGTATATATATTTTAAAAATAGTCTTGATAGTCAATTGACAGCACAAGATGGTGCTCTCTTGTCGGAGATGCCAGTTACAATATCGAATTTTTGCTCATATTATGTACTTGATAATTACTTTATATTATAATGTTATAGACGAAGTTCATAAACATTTGAAAATTCAAAACACATGATGTGTTATTAAAAATGAATTACATCTATATTATTATCATAAACATTTATTTTTGAACATTGAAATAAAACCAGAAATTAGTTTTTATTAATAATCTATCATCTATCGCATTAACGAATCATGACACTCAATAATGTAAAATAAAAAATCATTTTAAATGTCGAATTAGAAGATTCCTTTTAATCAGACGGTTTGTTTGCTATAGATGCGATGTATTAATTATTACATTTGATACTTAATAATATTACACAATTATAAACACTATTTTATTCATTAAATGAATATACGAATAACTAAATCTTTGGCACTTAAAAACTTACTTTTCCGAACCATATTAATGTCGGTTGTCTGTATATATATTTATAAACAAATTAATAATTATAATAGTAATTATTATAGAAATCGATACTATTATGCACATAATATATTCAATATTAATTATTATTTATTATGTTATGGTAACACAATTGGCTGGATTTTTTAAACACACTCCTTACTGATCAAATGTTGCGTATCACAGCTATTATTGTTACATTAAAATAATTCCTTATACTTATTTTATAATAAATATTATATACACGATACACCTATAATACGAGGCGATATAATATTGAACTTCTTTCAAACACTATTTACAATGGGTCAATTGGATACACTCCACGCCAATATTTCTATATATTCGATATAATCTACATTTGATTTCGATTCATAATATATTTTGATTGTGACAAATACATTAATATCGTAGTTGTTGCCTGACTTAAAATATTCCATTCCTCGTCGTACAATAGTAATATACCTAATACCATAGGTATTACTAATACCTATATATATATTACTATATTATATATATATGAGATACAGACATTAAGTAAAATGTATTTTGTATATGCAACATAAATAATTATTTTGTTATTATACATGTCGTAAAGTAAGTATTACGTGAACTCGGCGAATACGACTTTATTTCCCATTGCCTAATTAGTTTGTTTCACGCTTGTTTTTATTTTCTATTTACTCAAAACGCATTTTAATTTCCCTGATATGATAATCATTATGTTATTGACCAATTATAATTATTACGAATAGCGTTCAGCGGTAAATTCGAAATTCGTAAGGTTAGACGGTCGCTTGACGAAACGACAACCACCTTAACCTGTACATAAAAAATATTTTGATCACCAAAGTTCCATAATTAAATACGCCTAGTGCATAAATTAAAAAAAAATAAAAAAAACACGTTCCGTGTATTCTTATATAAACACATTTCTTTATTTTTTATTAATGAATTTTAAACTCAAAATATCTCAAACACTATTAAAGATTAAACCATCATAATATGATAAATAATTAAGCAAAGAAAAAGAAAATAAAACGTATGAAACGTAAAGCTCATATATTTTTAATTTTGAAACCAATATGGATAGTGTGATTAGAGGACATCTTTTGTTATAATTACAGGATAGAGCAATAATATATGACAAATTGATACTGAGGGAGGAAAGAAGGTATTATAAATTTAATCTGCTCTCTTGAATGAATTAGTTAAATTGATTGAAGTCATCTGTGGCCCACCATAGGGGAAAGTCAATAGTACTGTATTCACTGTGATAGAGCCCCAGGTTAAATGCACGATTGGATAGAAGATCATGGCCAGTACACATAGATACTGGTAAGTGGTAACTGACTGGTATATTGTGCAATAATCGTGTGACTAATATTTTAGGACTGAATGAAAATACGAATAAAGGGGGGATGGAATGAAAACATTGTTTTTGAAAACAGAGACATATGACTGCCACTCCGGTAGATTTTTCTATTCGAGCTTCTCATATTACATAAATTAAGTCATGTAAAAATATAAAACAATATACTATAACTTATAGGTACCCACGGTAATAATAATATCACGCGCCCATATTAGTGTATAGATATTTAAAATTACACTTAAAGAAAATGATTGCAGACGTATATATGTATATGTTACCGCCAATGATGATAATTAGGTATTGTTAAAAATGACTAGTCTATGTTAACACTGACTGTTTTACATAGGTATTGATATTATTGGCTAGTCTTTTTAGAGAATACCTAACTAAGATAGACAATCATAGAACAAATTTAATATTAATACATAATTTCTATGATTGACCAGTCATTGTCATTATTGACTAATACTATGTAGCCATTGATAATTTTAGATATAATATATTATATTTACTATTTAAGAATAAACAATGAAAAAAAAATATAAGAAAAAATTAATTTTTTCATAATAATTATTATTTTAATACTTGTATGTTGATTATTGATTATGACGTATGGGTATCACTTATTCTCGCATGATAAGCTGTTATGGCATTTCGATGTACAAAGCCGGTTATTAGATCTACAAGTACATTTATTTGTTTTGCATTTTGTTTTGCAGTGGCACCGTGCACAATGCATACAAAGACTTAAATATATCATAATAGTTTCCTTGGTAATATTACAATATTTTGTCTTTAATTCATAAACCATGCGGTCCCTACCACCATGACCTATTGCAATGTGACTATCGTGTAAAATATCAAATAATTCGTCATTTGATACATAATAGTGTACATTTTCTGAATTATTACTTATAGATTTAATAAGTCGTTCTTGCCCATTGAGTGTTATTATATCATACTTACGAATGTATCTGTAATCCTTTGCACTTTTCTTCCCAATTTTTTCCTTAGCTAATTTAACTTCTTGCAATCTTAACATATATTCTTCTTTGTTTAAAAATGATTTATTATCTTCACGTTTATTTTTCAATAAATCAGATAATGCTTTGTAAAATTTTTGACGCATTTCATTTGAATTCATTTTTTTAATAAAACAATTCAACACTTTTCGAAATGAAAAACTATACAAAACTATAAACTATATTATACGAAAGTACAACGTAGACTGTAACAATACTTATGTTAGGTTAGTTGCCGTGAGTATTAAAACTATAAAAGATACCTATTATTATTCGTTATAAAACAGATACCTAATCTTAACGTGGGTTTTTAAAGTTAAAACGATAAAAGATAACATTGACTACACGACGATAGGATATGTTATAATAACTAGTGAATTTATCAAATTATAACATCGTCTGATTTATCAAGTCAATGTTACAAATATATGTTGATTATAGATAATGACCAAGTTACCCAGGCATTATATTAATTGGCTAGTCAATATCATCATTACCTGAATTTACGACATTGACGGTAACATATATATTATATCTATTAGTGTACATTATGAACGTATCTTCACTACCAAATCAAAAATACCTTCAAAAATATTATGCAAAAATCAATAATTTCATAAGTTTAAATTTTCGTTACTTTTGTCAAAATATTTTGAATGGCTGTACCACATACCGTCGATTATTGCAAAAGTTGATTTCGTCGTTTGTTTCCATAGATGAGGACCCAATCGTCGGTGTAACGCGCAGCGCACACAGAGCGAGGCTGAGACGCGTCGTCGTGCCCTGTTCCATCACAACGTCGCCGCACAGCCGGACAGCCACGTGCCGCAGCGATGGGCAACTCGAACAGTCACGGCAGCAGCACATCGTACGCGACCGGCGGCGACGCGCGATCGATTCCGCCGCACTCGTGGGCGTACTCGTTCCCGCGGTCGCAGTACTTCAGGCAACCGACCACCGGGCCCAAAGTGCTACCGCCGCACGTGCCGGGCCAACAACGGCCGCGGCTCAGGGCCACCGAAAACGGATCCATGCTGCACGCGGCCGGCACCATAAACGGTAAACGGCCGTACGAGTACTCGCACCGAGACGACGTGAGTAAAATATTTGCAATGCACATGTTATCCTAGTTGTGATTAAATCACGGATTTCTATGCTCTAAAAAAGCATTAAAATCGGTCGTATGATTTGCAATAAAAACCACAAGAATATGCGAAACAAAAAAAAAATGTTTAATATACAAAACTAAAATAATCTATTCATAACTTAGTCAGATACTCAATGCAAAACAAATAGTTTTTTTTTAAATAAAATTGCTTAACAATATTACAATAAAAAAAATATATACTTCCTGTTAAAAACGATAAAAATGTATAAAAGAAAACAATAAACAATTGCACAAAAATCCACGCTCTATAGATTTATGATTATTCTATTGTGTGTTATGCGAAATGAGTATTGCGGTGAGTATAGCATAATATATACAATTAGTTATTGATATTTAAACATTTTTAAGTCTCATTTTAGAATAGTTACCGATATAGAAGTGTAGAGCCGATTAGCTTTCAGCTTAGTGTCCCAGCGACCCCTAATTATACTTAACCATATTGAAGTCAGTCACTTAATGATGTGTATTCGTTGAAATCAATAAATGTATTACAATAATTAATATACGAGTTTCATTGGGTAAAAATTACATGTGTTACCTTTGGATATAGTAAATATATTCTCCCGTGGTTATTACGGGATTATTGAAAAATATCCTACTTTTTTCCGTTTATATTTACACCCTCCAGCTTTTTATAGAAACAGTATACAATGACAATACCTAAATAATTTTATCAATGATTAATACAATATTTAAAATTAATAGTATGTGTATAATTAATTTTTAACTAACAATAAAATACAATAAATATCATGCTGAAAAATAATAATATTGACCAATCTTTCACTTAAGATAATTCCATAAAGTATAACTGGCCATGAATTCGTTATTCAAAAATAAAACAGTCTAAAATATTATAAAATCCTTGCAATAATGCATTAAAAAAAAATGTGTACAAAATACAAGTCGTGTTATAGTAAAATATAAATGGTATAATAATATATTATTATGACAACTAAAAATAGTTGTGATACTTTCCACATTGCACCTTAACACACGTGTACCACGTTTGCCTATCTAAAACTCCCTGTTACAAACAACTGATATAAAACAATATTATCCAACATTAATCATAATTGTATAAGCAGTATACGTAATAGTACTATACGACAAAAAAACTATTTATTGAACTACATTAAAAGTTATTTAAACTTCGTCAAAATCGGGATTTTTAATAATTGATAAAACATTACAACCATTATTAAATCTTTATTAAGTATTGATAACTGCAATAATGGACATATTTCTCACTTTATCTTTAATATAAATTTATAAAATAAATAATACAAATTATTTAAAAAACAAAAAATAATTATTTAGTTGGAAATATAAATGCATACCTATTTATTAGAATACTTTAAGTAGAATATAATACAAATAATATTTAAATAAAATAAAAACATTCTTTTAATGAATTTATAGATACATGTAAATATAAAATATATATTATACTACATATTATAATAGCGTAAGCCGTGTGTCTGGCTGTCTGCTCATATATTTTTGTATGGACATGTTTTGGTTTAAATATTTATATTCGTTTTTCTTTTATTATGAAATCAATATTAGTATTTTCTAAATGAAGGTCAATAAAGTTTAAAAATCTTTAATATGTTATAGATCCAACATGATTATGGATACGAGATTCAAAGACATGTACCTAGGGATGGAAGGCGAGATCGTATGGGGTACAATATGTATACCAGCGAACCGGATTTACGGTTTTCAGACTCCCGCCAACTCCCACCGATGGGTTACCAACATCATCACAATCAGGGAGACAATGGCGCTGTCAAAGGCAGGATGTCCCGTTCTAAAAAGAAGTATAGAGCTCCTCAAGTGCCTCCATCTTCATCGCACCATAATGGAGTGAGAAATATGAATTTTTAGAAAATATAGCATGTATCCCAAGGCTTACCTCTAATAGAACCAGTTATAATGGTTATTTAGTTATGTAAAACTTAACGTATTTGAATTTTAGTATTTAATAATTAATTTAATTTAAAATATTACACGAAATATGTATGAATTGTATATGAATTATGAGTATACGTGAGTAGAGGATTTAGGCGTTTAATATAATATATTATAATATAAAGACGATCTACATTATACGTACCCAAATGCGATTTCTTCCAGTAATTAAACGGCTTGATGTCTTGATGTACATATACCCATTGGGTTTGACATTAAATCGGTATATTTATAAAAGTTGTGTGTTTTACGTTTCGCAGATGGACAGCTCTTCACCGGACTCTTATCAACATTGGGAAAACCACAGAGATAATAGTAGATCTAGTCAAAACAATGGTATGCCAAGATTGAGATTATTTAAGACTAGAGCTGAGACAAAACGTAAGCTCAGTAGAGACGAATTAAAAAACGCAGAATTTCAGCCTGAAGTTAAACCACAACCTAGCAATTTACATCGAAGCATGTCTTCCCCACAATTTCAAGTGAGTAAACTTTTATTGTATTTTTGACAAACTGTTTAGTTTTTAAAAGATTCGATTTAATTGGTAGTCCACATCTTATTTTCTTTTTATATGATTATTTGAAAACAATTCTGCTATATAATATGAATTATGATACTAGTTGTGTAAGGAGGTGCTGAAATTAAAATAATAAGTATAAAAAATTTTTTACAACGTAGATAGCGTCCATGGAGTATCAAATTCTAATTACATTAATATCAGTAATTTATACAGTGGTATATTTGGCTCTCGCATTGTGTAATGAGTCAAAAAAACTAAAATTATATTTTCTCGAGGACTTTCTAGAGTTAAAAAAAACCAAGTATTCTACATGGTAAAATATATGTATTGTTATTTATAATATATATAGTAATATTATTGATAATGAAATACAACCCTAAATATAAACACATATATATATGTATAAATATTTTGTTTATAATATGTAATATATATTATGTATATTAAAACGAAAACCATTAAAAACTCCCCAATGTATAGGTTTTTGAATATTGGCCTACCTGCGTGGGTATATGTAATTGGTACCAAAATGGATAAATATTGATGAAAATTGTTGGGTGGTAGGTAGAATACATTTTAATTTGCACCAAAATTCAAATTGATACCACACTACAAGTTAGGTTAGGTTAGACCAGACTACACTCAACAACTTACTATACTTACTAGGTACCAAAAAGTGAATAATACTTCTCTGATGATTGACCCTCAAAAACTAAATTATTATAATATCGTATCAAACTATCAAAGAGATACATCATTCAGCATTGAACATACGTTTGACTTTTAGTCTTTGGATAAGTATATTAGATATTAAAGTAAACTCCATCTTTGGATTCATGAAGCTTGGAATATTTGCATTTACGCACATAAACTTTTTCGTTCTTAGTATAAGTTCCCATAGACACTCTGACACGCGTGTAAAACAACAATCTTGTGTCGCTTTCGTGATTGGAAATAACAATCAGTAACAGTAACAGTCTAAGAAATTATCGATTGTTAAAATCGATTTTAATTTTGGTGCAAATTTCAATATTCCATATAATATAACGAGGTGGTGTAAGTTACATATCATCGTTACATACATACATTTAAAAAAAAGGAAATACACGTCATATTCGATTACTATTGTGATGTCGAAAATTACAAACTCCTTTCTATAGGCACATTAATATGTTATAATCACTATATTCCAGAATCTGGAATGCATGCCCGAGATTTCTATAACATAATCTAGTTTAAATCGGTACTATACTTAATGGTGTGTTTGCCACACATGCCACATTATTTTGGTCAGCTGTAACAAAAAAAATTATCAATATATTTAAATACATTTTTTTTTAAATCATAGTACAATATTAAATAATTATTGCATAATATAAATATACATAAAATATAGTTTATGGAGTATAGGTATAAATATTTATATATAATTCGACCTAACTTGCACGCACTATAATAATAAAAATGGTCGCTTTTACAACAACAACAAAATCGTCACATTTTGTTAGCACCATTAAACCTTCACCGCCCCTAAATAACAAATGTTAGCGTCCTGCATATTTGACCCCTCCGCATATTATTATACTTTTCTATTAACAACGAGCCACTGTTCTGTATAACAATGCGGCAGCTGCAGATATTCGGGACGTCCTTTGTCGCGCGGGCCAGTTAGTATTTACGCAATAGAGCAGCTAGCTAGATCGGGTGAAGGCATAATAGGAAATCCGCCGGCACGCGTCAAATTGACCGTACCGGTCCAGGCGTTCAAAATAATGATCTTTGGGATTAATGCGATAGAAAAAAATCACATTTGTTAGGACAATTTTTCATTTGTGTAAAAAAAAAAACTAAAGAAAAATTATTTTGGTAACCACCGTCCGCCACTTACGACTTACCATTATTATATAATACGCTGCTCTATATTTAGTACAAATTGCAATTATTTTTTTTTATAAATTATTCTCTGCAAAATTCGATCAAAAAACGAACGTATTTATTCAAAAGTTACCCGAAGGTTTTTTATAGTAACTTTAAATACTATAACTTTACTGGTCCAATTCTTACAGGCCGAATTGAAACGTGTGACGGAAAGGCTAAGAGAAAAGGAATTCCGTCATCCGCCCGTTGGCCGCGCTTCGGAGAGCTCGTCCAATCCGGCTTCCGAGGAATGCGCGGTCGTGGTCGCTGACAGTGACAAACATCGAGAAAGCCCGGTGAACTCGAACAGACAACGGTTAATGGCCGATAGGGCCAAACGGATGTCCAGGTCGATACCGAATCTCGCTACAAAAGTACAAGAAGACGATGACGTCCGATGCACGGGCGAGGGTTCGTCAGCCACGGGTTCCAACGACGAGAACAAAAGCCATGATAAGAGAGCAAAGCCAAAAACAAGGTATGCCCTATTGAGCATGGCAACCGATTATTTCAATGCTTCAAGTATTTAAAGTATTTTATATTGCTTAGCGTGCCAGATATTAAACCGAAAACATTCTATTTCGGTATGAACGAGTTCAACGATACGACAAAGATCAGTAGAACCTCTGAAGACGTCGACCGATTCGCTGAGAGCTTTAATAAAACGAACGCTTCGCCGTCTGATAGCATTGCTAGCAGTGGCCCAACAGATGAGGTATAAATCAAAGAGGGTTTTATAATTATTAACAACATGACAAGGACAAATATACTTTTAATTGTTTTTAAGTTCAATTTCATACATTCTGTGAGCACAAAATTTGATCAACTACTCACATTTTTTTTTTATTAAATCAAGTTGTGTTTTTTTTTTAAGAACTACATTTAACTAATATTATATAATATTTTTGTTAATATGTATACTTGTTTATTTTTAAATTATGAAAAAGACAATTAAATGTTTCCCTTGCATATTTAATTCAAATTTTGGAAAGGTTAGGATGTTAGGAACAGTATTTTATTTTTTTGCCATTATGATAAAAATTAAAAACCTAAACTACCTAAATTGAAACATAAAAGTATAATATTATTTTATTTATACATAAATATTTTAGAGTGGTGGTGACATATCTCTTCAACTAAGACCTACACTACCAAGAAAACAGTTTGATATCCCTAGATTTAGTCCAACAGCTGCTTGGCGCTTGCTCACTGCTTTAGAAAGCCCTTCACCAGTTAGTCCTAATTGTAGCGGAGGAGAGGAAGATTTAATACCAATTATAGATCAACCTCATAATTCTGGTGATAAATCTGGGGATAGTGGTATTTCTGGAGATGCTAGTCCTAATTCAGCCCATAATTCACAGGTAATACATAAATAACATGTTTGAAAGTATGAATTTAATAAACTATTATAACTTTTAGGTTGCTTGGACTCCACAGCAAGACTTAGAAGAAACAAGTTCAGATGGAGGATTGGAAGATTCGGCACCAGTGTCACCTCAAAGTTTGGATACCACACAATTTTCAAGAATCCGTACAGTTGCTAAACCAAGTTTCTGTCTATCCTTACCCAGAGATGAAAGTACAGGAATTGATAAAAGATATGGGCAATCAGTGAGTTTTTTTATTATTTAATAGTAATATTTTATTAAGACAATAAAATTTATTGTGTTCTATAAAGAATGAAGATTTTTCACCAATGAACCCGCCTAAATCAAATGGTTACTTCAAATCTAAGTTACATAGAGGAAAAGCATCAGCAGATAGAAACAAATCACATTTGGATGAAAACTGGGTGTTGAGTAGAAGTGTACCAGATTCATTGCATCAATCAGGTTTAGTTGGCAATTTTCCATCTCAAAATTGGAGTCAATTAGAATGTCCAACTAGAGATGAACCTTCTGATGAAGAATTAGCTATGTCATCTTTACCAAAGTTTTCATATTTAGCTGCAGGCAGACGAGCTATGTATTTGCCAGAATATAAATCGTTGAACTATTTATATCAAAAGTATATTTAAATATCTAAATAACTGTTATTAGAACTCTTTTTAAATATTAATCCAATTAATAGGGATATGAAAAATGTGCCTGAAAATAAAGCCATTGTGTCAAAGTCATGTGAGGACCTTACAAGAGACGACCTGGAAGATGAAGAGTTACCAGTCATAAATGAAAGAACAAAACAACAAAAATCAACAAATAAAAAGTTTGCATTTCAAAGTACAATAAGACAAATTGAACGAAAAAAAATAGCTGAAAAATTATCAAAAGAAGCCGAGTACAAAGGTAATAATACATATATATATAAATGCACTTTCATATGTTTATAAAGGTTATATTTAATTTGAAATGATTGATTACAGAACGTCAGAGACTTAGTGAAATGGAGGCTATGCGTCGAGTGGAAGAAGAGTTTCAACGAAAACGAGAAAGAGAAAAAGCAGACATTCGACAACAGTTGAGACTGTATACGTTAACACAAGGTGATAGAGAACCAGCACAACCTCTCCCATCTGGTACTCAAGTACTCTCCGAATTTCGGGAGTCAAGACGTGACTACAAAGATTTTAACTCTTCCAGGTAAAAATGATTTCATAGTGAAAATATTTATTTATGAATCAATATATTTAACTAAGCTGACCACTTTGTAGAGTTGAACATGAACCTAATAATCGTTCAGAAACTCCAGTAAAAAAGTCAACAACTGTTCATCCAAAAGTTGTATACCAAATGCCCAAAAGTACACCAGTGTATGTGACACCGAATACTGTACGCAAGCAGTGCAATGGAACTGAAAAAGGATCATCAACGCCAACATCTGGAAACTACAGAAGAGACTTTGCTCAAGGGGCCCTGCCACATTCTGTGGCAAGTTCGGACTCAGAAGTGTCTGTGTCGATTACTCGACCAACTTCACGTACAAAGCACAGAAGCAGGTAGATAATCATTAACTTATACCATAAACCATAGTTACTAGATGACTAAGGTTAACAATTATATTATATAATATATTACTTACCTAATACAAAACATATAACTTACTACTTACTACTTACTACTTAGTGAATTTGAAACGCATGACTATTTAATTCAAATATATTTTAATACTAAATAATACTTAACAAAAACACAATAAACAATTAACAAAAATAAATATTGATATCAAAATGGTGAACATATTCATTTTTATGACAACATTAAGTTTTGAACATATTTGAACAAACTAAATGTATTGTAAACTTTGAATATTAGGTTTAACTTTGACTTAACATTATTTAATTTATAATATTAGTCATAAGATTGTTTTTTGTATTCTCTACAAATTCAATAAAAAGGTTTATTTTTTTACTTGTTTCATTAAGTGACTTATTATAAACTATTGGTAATATTAGAAAATCCATAAAACGAATAAAAATATGATGGAAATTATTTTAATCAAGAAAGTCAGTGCCTATGAATGAAGAAAATAATTTTGTAGGTGTCATTAAGATAAGTGTAAGAAAACATGAATTTAAGGATAAGGTTAATTAGACGTTTGATTTTTTAAAATAAGGAATATTAGCTATTATATGTATTACCTAACAATAATTACAAACAAAATAATCATACCATAATAATCAGTTGAAAATTTTAAAAGACAAATTAAAGTATTCAAAAAAAAATTCCATAAATTATAGGTACTATGCAAATTAAAAACAATATTTCAGCTATTTTCCTTTATTTTATAAAGCTTTTACATACTTTGTTAACTACTTGCCTGACAAACAAAAAAATAACCTTACAATGTCAACAAGATTTTACAGAGCATCGATAAACTTAACAATAAATACATTGTAAATGCAATACTAACTACTATTATGCTTTGGTTAACAATTCTAACACAGGTTTTAGCAAGTATGGAGCTCGGGATTAAGTGTGTATTCTAGTCAACAAATATTCAAGTCACCATTTCACCAATATAGGTTGGTAGTGAATGTTACTTGGTCTGTCTTAAATTTTAGGATAATTGTGTTTTTATTTTACACCATTTAGATCAGCCAGTCCAATATCTGATCGAGAAAACAACGACATTGGAATAAATCTTGATTATATACATATCATAAAAAGCTTAAAACAAAAACACAATAACGAAACAGTAATTATCTCTTAGAAAAAACCTTTTTATACATTAGTATTAAATATAATAAAGTTATTTTTATTTTTATCAGGAATTAAATGAAGTTACCAATGAAAAGATTCCGGCTAGTTCTATAGTCGGTTTAAATTCTCTACAACCATTTATGAAAAATAAAAATTCAATGTACAAACCTATTGTTTTCAATCCGATAAACAAGAACAAATTTGCTCAACCATTGATGTAGATTTTTATATTATTATTTACCTAATTTTTAATGTATTGTTATTGTATTTAATTAAAATAATTTACTTGACTAATTTCACTAGAAATAATTAGCTAATTTTTATATATACATACATATTTTATACATATAAATACTAAATAGTCATGATTAACTAACTTAGTTAATGATGTAAATAGTAATATTCAGTAATTATACTTGGTAAGTCAAATAAATTATTTAGTTTTAGTTAATCCAAATATTTTGTTTTTCACTCTAAGTGTTATTTATATTAATTTCAAGTTAACATTTATGTTTCAATAATTGTTATCTTATTTTATTTAGTTAATAATGAAAATGTACAACTTATATAAATGATTCACACATGTTATTTTTGTTAAAATGATCACTTTTTATTAAATTTAGATGTTATAAAATTAAAATACCTACTCCATGTTGATTGCCATAATAAAATTGTTTAAATGTATCTAATAACTGTATTTTATGTTTATAAATATTTATTATTAAATAATGTAGAGTGTAAGTACAATATGACACTTGGCACTTGCTTAAATGAGAACACTGTTGGAGTATAGATGTATTATATGAAAAATATCCAAATTATTGAACAATAATTACCAATGTTTAGAATACATTTAATATGACTGAAGTATAAATTACAAATATTATCTTACAACATATTATTTATACGCAAAGGAATAATATATTCTTATATATTTTTTTTTTAAAGTTCATAAAGTCATTTAGTTGTTTCATTTCAATCACTAATATGATTTGTGTTTTTATATATTTTATTAATTATATCTTGGAGTTTAAAAATCTCATATTAATAAGTTAATAAAAATTAAAGCCTAAATAGATAAATAACAATTAACATTTTTCATTGGAATGAATTTTATTTATTGACAAATTATATATTAACAATAACAACCTTAAAATAATTTGTCTAATAAACAAAAATCAAATTATTATTGGAGTCAACACTCAAATAATAAAATTCCCAGATTGTTTATATATGTACTTACTACTTATCAGCCAGGTATCTGTAATCACAAGCTCTAGATTGACTAAAATAACCAAGTTCTTAAAATAGAAAGTATATAGGTAGGTAGTAGGTAAATGGATAAATATGTGTATTTGAAAATAATATACATTAGGAAATAATCTTATAACATCGAAATATTCATCAACAGGCAACAGTGTTTGCATAGTGTACCGTAATATGGTAAAGTAGTAATGTTGAACACATTTTGGCTGAACATAATTATTTCTATGAAGTCTTAAACATACGAAGTGGGTACGCATAAGGCATAGTATTCGCTGCAGTTTTGATCATGATTACCTATTATGTAATAATTATGATGACTTAAGAGGATTTCAGCGGACTGTTTGTTTTCTCTCCCTGACACACGCGGGACGCGCCATATAGACAAAACACATTTATGCAGAATCGTTTTTTTTTATATTTTTTAGTAATATTAGAGGAAAATTACTCATTACATAAATCATAGAGGGTTGTATTTTTGAGTGTAAGACATATCGATTTCTCAAAGATCATTGTCTCAAAACAATTTAATCATTTTTAAATCAAATGCATTTTCAAATTTACAATTTTCTTACGATTATGATTTTTTTGTATTTACAATGATGTGTTTTTTTTCTGTCATCTACATTATGGTTAGTAAAAATGTTATGATTTTCGAAATTAGAATCTTTTCTGATAGAAAGTGAATCTAGTTGGTACATTTGAGAGATGTTTACAAAATTCTCAGTAGTTTTCAAAAGCAACGAGATAAACAAACAAAACATACTAATTTTAATGTTAAATCAATTTTTGAAAAAATCGATATCGAATCGAATCATATTTTTGGTAGAACTCAAAAACTAGTAAGTCACTTGTCACTTTTTTTGTTAAAATATTTACTCTTTTTGAAATATTTATACATAGGCGGAAATTCATTGAAAATATTGGGGGGGGGCACCATTTTTCAAATAACCCTAAATCTGGGCGGGGGGGGGGGTCTCCTTCACAATAACTGATGGACTTTTGGAGGGGGTTTGACGGACTTTTGGGGGACTTAACCCAATTATAAATAATTTATAACTTTGAGAAATTTTCAAATTTTGTAAATTATTTTTAAGTTATTCTCGATAAATACTTTTTTACTTAGTAAAGAAGCTTGAACATTTAATGCATGGTTCCTCTTAAGTTTCTTGAATGGAAATTCGAAAATATTAAAGATGCACCGGCACGATTATGTTTTACATGCATTTAAATTTCAAATTGTGACAAAATCTCCAAAATTGTCAAATTATTTTTGAGTTAGAAATGTATAAAAAATTTTCTTTTCTTAGCTAACGTAAAACATTTTAATGAGAGATACCACACAAGTTTTCTACCTTTATCAAAAAAAAAAATTCACCGGAAACTTAGGGTATTTATAGCCATGGGGTATATTCGATTTTTATTTTTTTAATTATTAAATTTTATTTTTTGTACAAGTATGCTGTGGATGACTCAATGTCTCCACTTCGAATTGATTTTCGTATTCAAAGATTTATCATTAAATTCAAATACAGCAAATCCATTGCAATAATAAAACAATTTCTCAAACCCTCAAAAATATTTTCTGCAAATAATTTTTGTAATACCTAGGTCCTAGGTGATTTTAATCTATATTACTAAAAACTCATTAAAAACGATTTTAGGTAAAATCTATGTATGTATGTGTATGTGTGTGTGGGCTTGACATATTTAACCATTATCAGATTTAGGCAGGCTCAGTTTTGCCCCAAACATTTATATAAGTATATAAATTTAAATAAATAAAGTAATGAATTTGATAATTGATAACCAATATGTTTATTTTAAAGCTACCCATGGAGTGGAAAATTTAGAATATTGGAAATGTATTATTCATGGAATGTCAATTTGTAATATATACAAATAACAATGTACATTAAATATTAATAAATGTTAGTATAAGAAAGCTAAAATCAATTAAAATTCTAAAATATTTCAAATGCTCTCTATTACTTTTCCCTAAACCTATTAAGTAATTTACTAATGGAAACTGCTAAAAGTAAATTTCATAAATAGTATAAAATAACAATAGTTCTTAATTTCTTATACATTGAAATAATAAATGTACAATATAAAAATAATTAATAAATAATATATTAATATGGTTCAGGATTTTTCAAGATACAATTTCAATAAGATTTGAAAATGTGAACGTTAGGTGAGAAAAATATACATCAATATTTATTTATTAATAAATTTAATTATTTTATTGCTAGGAAAATAAGTTGTTTTGCATAGTTAATTACTTCGACATTGATGTAAAATGTATTTTTAGTTCGTCTACTACAAGAAAGAACATGAAAGGAAAAATAATGCAAGAAGTCAAAACAATCAATTTTACCGGCCAAAAGTTTGTACGTTAAGTCTGATCGCAAAGGACTTGCGATACATTGGTATATGCCAAAATCAAATAATTAGAATAAAGAACGAAAGTACTCTACAACAAATTTATTCACAGAACTAAACGTTGTAACTGTTAAATTCACCTGAAAATTAGTACTATACATTTAATTTAAAAACCCACAATTTAGTATAACCAATATTACACAGAGTAATTAGAAGATACACAGAAAACAATTTCATCATAAATAGATTTAAAAAACAACATTGAGTAGACATTTTGAAATAATTGGAACCAAACTATGTAACAAAGTACCATCCCATATAAATATATAATAAACCTCCCCATCAATTTAAAAAAAATAACATTTCTCAATGGTTATTGGAATATGAAGATGAATTAATAATATTATAGAAATAACATTGTATTCATTTACCTCTATCAACACAAAATAATTTAATTTTAATCATGTATACGCAACAGAAATGTTATTTTTAATTGTTTCTTGTTCCTTTTTGCCTAAGAGGTTGGAACTCCTGGGCACACACACAATTCTTCACAGTGGGGCCCAGTATTCATATGTATATGCATTTAAATTAAATAAATAAGTTTATATTATACATATTATTATGTAAGTACCTAGAAATTAAAATAATATTTTTATTTTTTGAGTAAGTTTTTGAATCATTTTATCATAGAAAAAAAGCTAGTAAATACATACACAAGTTCATTAAAAACAATAATCTGACATCGGGAAGTACATGATAACTAAACTTTCCGTTTATTCGTCTAAAACCACAAGTATGGAGGGCTCCAGCAGCCATAATATTATTATAACTTAGAAGTGTTGTAAATAGACTATAGACTTCTAAGGGACTTGAAAACGTCCTGAGGCAAGACTTAACCCTGCCCAATTCATCCTAAATATCCACAAATGAGTATAATTATGTACGGTGATCCGGTAATCGTTTTCATTACTTGTCTTTAGTTCAAATGTTACATTATAATATTGTATACCTATCAACACCATTATCTTTTATTTTAATCTTCATAATTATTGCATGTTGCCTTACAGAAGTAACTACTTTTTAAAAATTAACAAAATGCGCATTAATGTTTTTCTTTGAAACACGTCTTTATGAAAATATATCTGAAATCGTTTTCACTCTAGACAGACTAAACTGTCTGGTTTGGTAGTTACAAATACCATCCAATAGCCAATACTAGATAGTATATATGTGCAACGACCCCTAATCCTAAAGGTAAATTATATATTAAATAGGGTTAAAAATTATGTGGCGTATAACAGTTATACTATCATTCTGAAAAGTAAAATCAATATTTTATTTTAACTCTTAAAAGTCTACTTAAATTTATTATACGACGTCTTTAGGCATACCATTTCACTTAATTCTTCTATAACCATAGGTTTGTCTTATTCGATCACAGATTCTTACAAATGCAAATTTAATAAAACTAAATTTCCATCTTTAATATTATATATAGTCCCGCGGTTTTAATTTTTTTCATGGAATATATTATACATTATTATATAGGCGTATTAAGTTTCATAACCTCAGTGTATAAACTTCGTTTCGCGCTTCTTTTCGAAGTCTAACCTTAAATATTAAACCTATCAAAATGCGGATGTCAGATAATAATATTATTGTATAAGCTGACGCGTAGATAGACAAAAAAATACTTAGTACCAACTATTTTATGCAAATAATTGTATGCATGAAGGCCAAAAATGAAATTACACAAACGCACTATCTAAAGGCGACATACGACTAATACGCAGTAACACTATATAGATTGTTG